ACCTCAGCAAGCCAGAGTCCAAAAGTGGCAGGCTCAAACCCAGAACCTCAACCAATGGCTGATACCAAATGAGAGACTCCCTCCTGGGCACACAGAAAACTGGGTGACTTGGAAGGCGCTGAGCAGACTGCGCTCAGGCACCACAAGATGCAGAGCCAACCTTAAGAAATGGGGCCACAAAGTGGAAACCACGACATGCGAGTGTGGAGAAGAGCAAACTACATACCATCTGCCGCGACCTGAGCCTGCTACATGCACAATGGAGGACCTCCTTATAGTAACACCAGAGGCACTCCAAGTGGCCAGATACTGGTCAAAGGAAATTTAATCAACTTCCAAGCTTGCAAACTTTTGTGTTTTGTTTGTTTGTTAAAAATGCAATACAACTGTTTGGCTTGCTCCTGACACGATAAATAAATAAACAAATAATATTACAATGATGGTGTAGTACAATATAGTAATATATAATACTGATATTGTACTATGCTAATAATATAATATATTGTATGTATATGTGTGTGTGTGTGTGTGTGTGTGTGTGTGTGTATATATATGTATGGAGCCCCTGGTGGCGCATTGGGTTAAAGCACTGAGCTGCTGAGCTTGTTGATCGAAAGGTTACAGGTTCGATTCCGGGGAGTGGCGTGAGCTTCCGCTGTCAGCCCTAGCTTCTGCCAACCTAGCAGTTCAAAAACATGCAAATGTGAGTAGATCAATAGGTACCGCTCCGGCGGGAAGGTAACGGCGCTCCATGCAGTCATGCCAGCAACATGACCTTGGAGGTGTCTACGGATAATGCTGGCTCTTTGGCTTAGAAATGGAGATGAGCACCACAGTCCCAGAGTCAGACATGACTGGACTTAATGTCAGGGGACTACCTTTACCTTTACCTATGTATATATATATTGTAAGCTGCTCTGAGTCCACTTCTGAGTGAGAAGGGCAGCATATAAATGCCGTAAATAAATAAATTTACTGCAACTGGTGGTTTAACCTGCTGTGTTAAAGCACAACCCTTTGATTATCCAAATTGAACTCTGTAAGTATGTATGTTGGCTGAGAGCCGTTCAGCAGTGGAACACTCTACCTACAATCAAAGAGCATTCTGAACTCCACCAATGATGGAATTGGGCCAAAATTGGCACACAGGGCTCCCATGACCAACAGAAAAAAACTGGAAGGGTTTGGTGGACATTGACCTTGAGTTTGGGAATTATAGTTCACCCACATCCAGAGAGCACTGTGGACTCAAACAATGATGGATCTGGACCAAACTTGGCACGAATATTCTATATGCCCAAATATGAACACAGATGGAGTTTAAGGGAAATAGACCTTGACATTTGGGAGTTGTACTTACTGGGATTTATAGTTCACCTACAATCAAAGAGCATTCTGAACTCCACCAATGATGGAATTCAACCAAACATGGCATACAGGACTTCCATGACCAACAGAAAACACTGGAAGGGTTTGGTGGGCATTGACCTTGAGTTTGGGAGTTGTAGTTCACCTACATCCAGAGAGCACTGTGGACTCAAACAATGATGGATCTGGACCAAACTTGACACAAAAATTCCATATGCCCAAATATGAACACAGATGGAGTTTGGAGGAAATAGACCTTGACATTTGGGAGTTGTAGTTGCTGGGATTTATAGTTCACTACAATTAAAGAGCATTCTGAAACCCACAAACGACAGAAATGGGGCAAAAACCCCCATGACCAACAGAAAATACTTAAGGCCATCCAATCCAACTCTCTTCACCAGGGCAAGAAAATGTAATCAGAGCCCTCCTGACAAAGACCCATCCAGTCATAAATATAGATAGATAGATATGATTCACACACAGAGAGAGATATAGTATCACAGGTTTGAAAGGGACCCCTAAAGAAGGTCAATGATATGTTGCATATTCCAGAGTAGGCAAACCAGACAATCTCCACATCAACACTGACAAAGACACAGGAAGAAATGCCGTTTACCCACAAGCATAAAGGAATTACATATATTAGAAACCAACACTTTCTCATGACTTTATTTTCCAGATCACCAGACTGGGCCACAGCAACGCATGGCAGGGGACAGCTAGTATTAAATATGGGAGAAAACAAAACTGATAAACATTGGGCCATCCATAAATATCAGTCGCCTTCTCCCATCATCTCCAGACCAACAATACTTTGGGGATGATGGGAATGGAGGCAAACCTGTGTCACACAAGTCATGGCGATGCTCCATCGCGACATTCAAGATGGACAAATATTTTGAAAGGATGTGGAATGTGTGGCACCGGCTTCTCGCTCGTATATTAGATCTGCGGAGAGGGTCTCCGGCTGGGTTCCCTCTTCTTCAGGCACTTGCTGAGAGATTGGCCGATGCCACAAAAGGAAGAGGAGCCGGCCCGCAAGGGAGGAAGTATTCAAAAAGCATACCCAAAGTGGTTCTCAACCTGTGGGTCTCCAAGTGTTTTGGTCTACAACTCCCAGAAATCCCAGCTGTTAGGATTTCTGGGAATTGAAGGCCAAAACATCTAGGGATAGCCGCTCCGAGTCCCCATTGGGGAGATGGTGGCGGGGTATAAATAAAGTTTATTTATTTATTATTATTATTATTATTATTATTATTATTATTGGAGTCTGGTGGAATCTTGTGCTCTGCAAGTTGGGTGGTTGGACTGGATGGCCCCTGGGGTCTCTTCCAACTCTATGATTCTATAATAATAATAATAATAATAATAATAATAATAGTAATACAATATTATTATTATTATAATTTGTCAGAAGCAAATTGAAAATACAGTTATAATTATAGTTATAATAATATAATAATAATAATAATAATAATAACTATATTTTATTATATATATAATATTGTATATTATTATATTATATATATAATAAAATATTATAGTTATAATTATATATAATATTGTATGTTATTGGAGTCCCCGATGGCGCAGTGGGTTAAAGCACTGAGCTGCTGAGCTTGTTGATCAAAAGGTTGCAGGTTCAATTCCGGGGAGCGGCGTGAGCTTCCGCTGTCAGCCCTAGCTTCTGTCAACCTAGCAGTTCGAAAACATGCAAATGTGAGTAGATCAATAGGTACCGTTCCAGCGGGAAGGTAATGGCGCTCCATGCAGTCATGCCGGCCACGTGACCTTGGAGGTGTCTAAGGACAATGCTGGCTCTTCGGCTTAGAAATGGAGATGAGCACCACACCCCAGAGTCAGACATGACTGGACTTAATGTCAGGGGACTACCTTTACCTTTACCTTATTGTATATTATTATTATTATAACTATAATTATAACTGTATTCTCAATTTGCTTCTGACAAATTATAATAATATAATAATAATTATATTATAACTATAATATTTTATTATATATATAATATTGTATACTATTATTATTATTATTATTATTATTATTATTATTATTATTGGGATTCACAAGTTGAGAACCACTGTCCTAAGCCCAGCTCAGTACTGGTCCAAAGCTTTCCTGAGTCCTTTCGAAGAGTCTTCTGCCACCTACTGGCGACAATGAGTATAGGTGTATAATAAACAATCATGCTTACATACAGATTCAACTTAAGAACAACCCTACAGAACTGATCTTTGTGTTGTCGAAGGCTTTCATGGCTGGGATCACAGGGTTGCTGTTAGTTTCTCAGGCTGTCTGGCCGTGTTCCAGAAGCATTCTCTCCTGACGTTTCACCCACATCTATGGCAGGCATCCTCAGAGGTTGCGAGGTCTGTTGGAAACTAGGAAAATGGAGTTTATATATCTGTGGAATAATGTCCAGAGTGGGAGAAAGGAGTCTTGTCTGTTTGAGGCAAGTGTGAGTGTTTCAATTGGCCAGCTTGATTTGGATTGAATGGCCTCACAGCTTTAAAGCCTGGCTGGTTGCTGCCTGGGGGAGTCCTTTGTTGGGAGGTGTTAGCTGGCCCTGATTGTTTACGCCAGGGGTCCTCAAACTAAGGCCTGAGGGCCGAATACAGACTTCCAAGGTCATTTAGCCGGCCTTCGCTCAGGGTCAACCTAAGTCTGAAACGACTTGAAAGCACACAACAACAACAACAACAACAATCCTATCTCATCAGCCAAAAGCAGGCCCACACTTTCCATTGAAATACTAATAAATTTATATTTGTTTAAAAATGTTCTTCATTTTAATTATTGTATTGTTTGAACACATTAACGTCTCGTAACTAAAATCGTGATCCAATTCGTCATCCATAATTCCGTTTCATAATAAATGGCAGTTCCTAATTGGTTCTGTCATTAAAATCACCAATAATGAAATATTAAATTTTGAAAGTTTTGTTAGAGTTCTGAAATTTTCACCACCAGAACTTTAGTTTTGTAAGTACTTTAGAACCATTTAGAACCATGGATTGCCCAAGCCTAATATATATATATCCATGGTTGTAAATGGTTCTCTATCTATCTATCTATCTATCTATCTATCTATCTATCTATATAGAGAGAGAACCATTTACAACCATGGATATATATATAAATAAGAGAACCATTTACAAGATATTGAGTTATTGAGAAATAGTTATTGAGTAGGCTTGGGTTCTAAATGGTTCTAAAGTACTTACAAAACTAAAGTTCTGGTGGTGAAAATTTCAGAACTCTAACAAAACTTTCAAAATTTAATTATTTCATTATTGGTGATTTTTATGATAGAAATGATTGGTGATTAGGAACTGCCATTTATAATGAAATTTTGAGAGTTTTGTTGGAGTTCTGAAATTTTCACCACCAGAACTTTAGTTTTATAAGTACTTTAGAACCATTTAGAATCATGGATTGACCAGGCCATCCATTCACACACACATACATATATATATGGATGGCCTGGTCAATCCATGGTTCGTTCTCTCTATATATATGTATGTATGTATGTATGTATGCATGTATAGTTTGGGAATATATATGACTTTGGGAATGGCACAGGAGACATTAGAAAGAGCCATTTGCGCACATTTCCTGAAGATCTGTCAGTTTTTTTTAATCATGGAGAGGAATTTGGGAAGCGGGATCTCTAAGAGGACTCGGCTTTCCAGGTTTCAATTAGGAATAGAACCTGTAGAAACGCAAACCAATGATACTTTCTCAATGTATTGTCGAAGGCTTTCATGGCTGGAATCACTGGTTGTTGTGATTTCTCAACCTCTATCACTGTTGTGCAACAGTGACTCAAGTAAGAATGGGTTGTGAACAAGAGACTGTAAAGTCCTTTTGCACAAGGCTTTGCTGCTCGAAACTAGAGATGCGAAGGCCTGAAAACAACCCAGGCCCTCACATCTCAATTCAAAACAAAGGCCGTATCCAATCTGTTTTCCTAGGTGAGTTGGTGGTGCTTTGGGAGGAAGCAAAGAGATGGAGAAAGGATGCTGATCCAGGGGACAAAAGAGGAAGTTATACTCATAATTTCCCGCAATCGCTGTTCCTATCAGTCCTGAGTAAAAAGGAGTGTGAATGGAAATGAAACAGACCTAGAATCTCGCCTTTGGGCCAGTACAGAGCCTGGATATGGTAGACTTTGCTTCCCTTCTCCCTGACTCCACATCTCTCCTCCTAGAGTGTCCTTCTGATTGTTTTCCTGGCGAGGAGGAGTCCCATCCAAGCTGCACTTGTCCCCAATGGCCGCAGGGCAGTCCCATAGTCCCAAAGTTCAGCACCTGACTCCGTCGGGTTTCAATGCACCAGCTGCACCGTCAGCCAATAGAGGATCAGGGGCTGGAACGCTGCAGCCGCGAGCGTGACGTACATCTGGGCCCGTCCGCTGGGTCGGCTTAGCCCCTCTTGCACCATGGAAGGCAGGATCTTCATCCGCAAGGAACGAACCTGAGGAAGGTCATTACAAGGTTAAAGAAGGAGACTGATCCCTGTGTCATTTTCCCCTAGGGAGGCACTGGACTACAACTTCCATCCTACGCAGATGACACCCAACTCCACTACTATTTTCCACCAGATTCCAAGGAAGCCCCTCAGATACTGGACCAGTGCCTGGCTGCTGTGGTGACCTGGATGAGGAAGAACAAGCTGAGGATCAATCCTGACAAGACAGAGGTCCTCCAGGTCAGTTGCTTGGGTGGCAACCTGTGCTGGATGGGGTTGCACTCCCCCTGAAATAACAGGTCCGCAGTTTGGGGGTCCTCCTGGACTCGGCGCTGACACTCGATGCGCAGGTGTCGGCGATGGCCGGGAGGGCCTTCGCACAACTAAAACTCGTGTGCCAACTGTGACCTTACCTCGTGAAGTCTGACTTGACCACGGTGGCCCATGCCTAAGTTACCTCTAGACTGGATTACTGTAATGCTCTCTATGTGGGGCTACCCTTGAAGATGGCCTGGAAATTACAACTTGTCCAACGTTCGGCAGCCAGATTAATAACTGGGGCGACTTATAGGGAGCGGTCAACCCCCCTGTTTAAGGAGCTTCCCTGGCTGCCGTTTATTTTCCGGTCCCAATTCAAGGTGCAGGTTACCACCTACAAAGCTCTAAACGGTTTGGGACCTGCCTACCTTTGTGACCGTATCTCCCGCCATGAACCATCTCGAGCCCTCCGATCTTCTGGGGAAGCCCTTCTCTCGCCCCTGCCAGTCTCTCAAGTGAGTACAAGGGAGAGAGCCTTTTCTGCTGTGGCTCCCCAACTCTGGAACTCACTGCCTGGAGAAAGCCCCGTCCCTAGAAATCTTCAAAAAGGACCTTAAAACCTGGCCTTTGATGAGTAGGTATATAATCCCACATGATTGCTCTGCCTCAAAGTTATGTCTTTGGAGTATACGTGTCCCCACTCCCCCCTCATGGGAAAGTTTGATTCCACAACTCCTGCTAAAATGAGCCCTCCTTTGTAAATGACCTGCTCCCCTTTTATCTCGCACGAGTTATTAATTAGTTTTAATCAGTTTGTCCTTTTAATCACTACATGTAGCCCACCCATTATTATTGGGCCTGTGCATATTTTTATATTGTTATATATTCATAAGTTTTATGTAACTATGATGTGTTTATGAGTTTTATTGTTGTATTGTTATGCTGTTGTTTTATTGGGGGCCTTGGCCTTTTGTAAGCCGCACCGAGTCCTTCGGGAGATGTTAGCGGGGTATAAATAAAGTTAATAATAATAATAATAATAATTGTTTATTGTTCGTGTTTTCGGTTTGTGTTTTTGGTTTTTCTTTATTGTAATTGTCATTTGGGCTTGGCCTCATGTAAGCCACTCCGAGTCCCCATTGGGGAGATGGTGGCGGGGTAATAAATAAAGATTATTATTATTATTATTAATCATCCCTTTGCCTGCATGCTTGAGGACAATGGGTGCCCTAGTCCAGCAGTTCCCAAATCTTTCTCTTCGATCTTCTGGAGAGGCCCTTCTTTTGCTCCCGCCCGCATCGCAAGTGCGACTTGCGGGGACGAGAGAGAGGGCCTTCTTTGCGGTGGCCCCCCGGCTCTGGAACTTACTTAGTTTCCAACAGACCTCAAATCCTCTAAGGATGCCTGCCATAGATGTGGACGAAACGTCAGGAGAAAATGCTTCAGGAACATGGCCAGAAAGCTCACAGCAACCCAGTGATTCTGGCCATGAAAGCCTTTGACAAGACAATAGTAGCATACTTTTTAAAAAATTCTCAGAAATGGGGGGAAGTTACCCTTTAAAATGTAATAACAACAGATAATTTAGACGCCAATTCCATCACGTGAAAGGACTCACCATGAAATACATCAGGGCACAGGAGGCCCAGGCCCAGGCAATATAATAGCCGTTGCTGCCAAAGATCAAGCCGCCCATCACAGCAAGGATCATCCTGGAAAATAGAAAGGACAAACGTCCACATGGTGTTAGAGAAGAACCGGAGGGCTATGGGGTCACTGAATAGAGTGGCCATGAGTCTATAAATGTTATTATCACTACCATCATCTTAGCAGACGACTAGCTAGACATTAGCCAACAGTGTGAAACAGCAGCTTAAAAGAGCCAATGTGATTCTAGGCTGCATCTATAGGAGTCTGGAGTCCAGAGCAAGAGAAGTCTGATTGGTGGAGAGCCGCCCTACAAGGGAGACGCAGGCATGGCTTCTCCACACTACTATCTATATATATATAAACACTCTGTGCATAATGAGTACCTTAAAAACGAAAGAACCAATGAACAAAATCACATCAAATTTGGCAACGATACGTCTCACAACACTCCTTAGTGACCATCACTCAAAAGATTATGATTTTGTCATTTGGGAGTTGTAGTTGCTGGGATTTATAGTTCACTTATAATCAACGAGCATTCTGAACTCCACCAACAATGGAATTGAACCAAATAACAATGGAATTGAACCAAACACTGGTGGAGTTTGGGGAAAATAGAATCTTGACATTTGGGAGTTGTAGTTGCTGGGATTTATAGTTCACCTACAATCAAAGAGCATTCTGAACTCCATCAATGATGGAGTTGAACCAAACTTGGCACACAGAACTCCCATGACCAACAGAAAATATTAGAAGGGTTTGGTGGGCATTGACCTTGAGTTTGGGAGTTGTAGTTCACCTACATCCAGACTCAAACAATGATGGATCCGGACCAAACTTGGCATAAGCACTCAGTATGCCCAAATATGAGCACTGATGGAGTTTGGGGGAAACAGACCTTGACATTTGCGAGCTGTAGTTACTGGGATTTATAGTTCACCTACAATCAGAGCATTCTGAACCCTACCAATGACAGAATTGGGGCAAAACTTCCCATACAGAATTCCCATGACCATCAGAAAATACTTAAGGCCATCTAGTCCAACTGGGGCAAGAAAACGTAATCAAAGCCCTCCTAACAAAGAGCCATCCAGCCATAGATATAGATAGATACATATCATTCACACACACACAGATGCAGTATCATAGATTTGTAAGGGACACCTAAAGAAGGACAATTCTATGTTGCATGTTCCAGAGTAGGCAAACCAAACAATCACCACATCAACACTGACAAAGAAACAGCAAGAAATACTGTTTACCCACAAGCATCAAGAAATTATATATATTAGAAACCAACACTTTCTAATTACTTTATTTTCCAGATCACCAGACTGATGGAGTTTGGGGGTCTATTTCCCCCAAACTCCATCAGTGCTCATATTTGGGCATACTGAGTGCTTATGCCAAGTTTGGTCCAGATCCATCATTGTTTGAGTCTGGATGTAGGTGAACTACAACTCCCAAACCCGAGGTCAATGCCCACCAAACCCTTCTAGTGTTTTCTGTTGGTCAGGGGAGTCCTGTGTGTCAAGTTTGGTTCAACGTGTGGCAGGGGACAGCTAGTGTATTATATGGCCACCCTTCTCACCCCGAAGGGGACTCAGAGCGGCTTACAAGGTATATATTACATACAATATATTCTATTATTAGCATAGTACAATATCAGCATTAAACATTGCTATATTTTGCTGGTTTTGACCTATAAAGCTCTATACGGTTCTGGCCCAGCTTACTTGTCCGAACGCATCTGCCTCTACATCCCACCTCGCAACTTAAGATCATCCGGGGAGGCCCTGCTCTCGCTCCCACCAACATCGCAAATGTGGCTGGCGGGGATGAGAGACAGGGCCTTCTCGGCTGTAGCCCCCCGCCTGTGGAATTCACTTCCAAATGAAATACGATCTACTCCATCACTCCTGGCGTTCAGGAAAAAATTAAAATCTTAGTTTTGGGAACAGGCTTTCGGACAATAAACATAAAGAAGCACTTTGACTGGAAATGGATTGGCAAGACGATATGTATCAGGATATGGTTTTATTGTTCTATCAGTGGGCTTGTGGACTGCGTATTGTTTTAATGACTGTTACGATAATTTGGTTAATTGCTATTGTTTTAACTCTGTATGTATTTATGGTTTTATACTGTGTTATTGACCGTGGCATTGAATTGTTGCCTTTGGTTACCCGCTCTGAGTCCGTCCGTCCCCAGGGGTTGAGAAGAGCGGAGTAAAAATGCTATAAATAAATAAATAATACTGCACCACACCACTATATCGTAATATTATTAGTAAAAATTTCCAAAAAAAAGTTTAAGAAAAAATTAAAGTATTATTTGTTTAGGCTTTACTGATTTGGAATTATAATTGGATGAAATTGAAGCCAAATTGTTAATGTTGATTACACCAGCGGCAAGAATTATTTCTGTAAAACCTCGGAAAAAGGAGGAGAAGGCTAAAAAAAAAAGAGACATGGATGAATTAATTTTTTTTTGTTAAAGAAAAACACTGGGAAATCTATAAAAAAGACTGATTGGGTTCTTTTTTATGACTATGAAAAAAAATAGAAAAAAGAAGGAAAAAAGAAGAGGTAAATAATAACGAAACAAAAAATAAGAAGATCCTGAGATTGGAATGGAAGTCATTTTATTTTATTATTATTTTCTTGTTTTTTTATATATCTGGGGGGTTGTTTTTTTTTTTTTGCATTTTTGTTTTTATGTATTTTTTTTCTTTTCTCTCCTGATTGTATTTTCTACTTTTCTATCTTCTTCTTGAATATTTCCCCTCTTTCTATGTAGTTATGTTAGAAATTGATTAATAAAAAATTATTCAAAAAATATAAATAAATAATACTGCACCACGCCACTATATCGTAATATTATTAGTAATATTACATCTATATAAATAAAAATGTAATGTTCGTTTGTGGGGTTAACAGAACTCAGAAACCACTGGACGAATTGACACCAAATTTGGACACAAGACACCTAACAATACAATGTATGTCCTTCACTCAAAAAAATTTGATTTTGTCATTTGGGAGTTGTAGTTGCTGGGATTTATAGTACACCTACAATCACAGAGTATTCTGAACCCCACCAATTATAGAATTGGGCCAAACCGTCCACACAGAACCTCCATGTGGGCCACAGCAATGTGTGGCAGGGGACGGCGAGTGTAATATAAATATATAATTATAATATCATATTATTATTATTATTATTATTATTATTATTATTATTATATTGCATTACAATATATTACTAGAGAGTGGCATTTTCTGTAATATACCAGAGACTAATACCATATTTGTGCTAATTAACTAAAGCTATTTCTCTATTTCCTGGAAACGCTTATAGAGACCAACAACTAGGAATTCATGGACCGGCACCAGTCTCTGGACGATTCCTTCGAGAAGCCCTGGTTTTGAGAGTGAACACTATTTTCAGTGTTAGCCCAAAGGCAGAAATGCTGGAAACTGCAAACACAAATGTGGGGCCAAGTGTTCAGTTAGTAATCTACCAGTGAAATATGAGAAATGCAACCGCATTTCCATCTACGAACTATGTGATCTCTTCGATCTTCCGGAGAGGCCATTCTCTTGCTCCTGCCTTCATCGCAAGCACGACTTGTGGGGAGAAGAGAGAGGGCCTTCTCTATAGTGGCCCCTCGGCTCTGGAATTCGCTCCCCAGAGATATTAGGTAAGCCTCCACCCTGGAAATCTTTAGGAGGAGCCTGAAAACTTGGCTTTTCCAGCAAAATCCAGCATAATGATCTTGTTTGCTGTTTAATCTTCTTGTGTATCAAATAATAATAAAAATTAACATTAGCAAAAGTATTAGCAAACTACAAGAGAGGAGATTCCATCTGAACATGAGGAAGAACTTCCTGACTGTGAGAGCCGTTCAGCAGTGGAACTCTCTGCCCCGGAGTGTGGTGGAGGCTCCTTCTTTGGAAGCTTTTAAACAGAGGCTGGATGGCCATCTGTCAGGGGTGCTTTGAATGCAATATTCCTGCTTCTTGGCAGAATGGGGTCAGACTGGATGGCCCATGAGGTCTCTTCCAACTCTTTGATTCTATGATTCTATATTTGAGAATATGTGGAAGTCATTTATTAGCGTCAGGTGTCAACGTAACAGCAAATTCAAACCATTAAATGATCCAGAAAAGATTGTTGGATGAACAATTAGAAAATATATTACAATAATTATATGTAATGGATGAAACTGGAACAAGCAGAAGTAATAGACCTAACAGAGATTTATTTTCATGAATGATTGGGGGGGGGGGGGAATAGTTGATGTAACATGTTGTTTTGTAAGATAATAGAGACAAAATAGATTATGAAAATTAAATAAAATATTTTTGTGCAGTGATACTAAGATTCTTGTTAACAATTTAAGTATACACCATATTAAAAGTATCTTTCCAAGTTCCAGGACTTACCCGACGTATTTGTAGCCACAGTAGGCCAGCAAGTCGAATGTGCCGAGGTCGCTCTGAACGGTGGCCAAGTAGAGGCCCAGGAGGAGCGCAAGGACTTCAATGACCACCCACACAAAGGCGGTGCTGGCGCACATCCCAAGGACCTCCGGAGAGAACCTGGAAGGAGAAACCATGACTCTCTCAACAAGCACATTATTGGATGCATTTCATTATTATTATTATTATTATTATTATTATTATTATTATTATTATTATTATAGGGTTTAAAAGAGGTGATGGTATCTCCGCTGCTGAAGAAACCAGACTTAGATCGTTCGGTTCCCTCTAGCTACTGCCCAGTCTCGAACCTTCCGTTTCTGGGCAAGGTGGTTGAGAGGGCAGCAGCAGAACAGTTGCAGCAATTCCTCAGTGACACAGCTGAACTCGATCCCTTCCAGTCCGGCTTCCGTAGGGGGCACAGGACGGAAACTGTGCTAGTTGCCATCACAGATCAGCTTCGCTGCCAGATGGATCAAGGCGGATCAGCGCTGCTTGTGTTATTGGACCTCACAGCAGCATTTGATACAGTCGATCACAATCTATTGACCCACCGCCTAGCCATGACTGGGGTGAGGGGGATACCCCTTAAATGGGTGTCCTCCTTCCTCCAGAATCGGGGGCGGCGTGTGGTGAGGGGAGGGATGGTTTCCGAGAGATCTCCGCTAACTTGCGGGGTCTCGCAGGGAGCTATTCTCTCTCCTCTGTTATTTAACATCTATATGCGACCGCTTGCCCGACTGGTGAGGAGCTTTGGGCTTGAGTGCCACCAGTACGCTGATGACACTCAGCTCATTCCAGGATGGAGGACCTGAAAATTTCCATCAGTGCCTTGAGGTCATTACTGGATGGTTGCGTGCCAGCAGGTTGAGGGTGAACCCAGCGAAGACGGAGATCCTTTGGCTGGGCCGTCCGGGTGGGAGGGAGATCCAGCTGCCTACCCTGGATGGCGAGACACTATGTCCGTCACCTTCTGTAAAAAGCCTTGATGTCTTATTGGACTCTCTGCTCACAATGGAGACCCAGGTCTCTGCTGTGAGCAGATCTGCATTTTTCCACCTACGTCAGGCTAGGCGACTGGCTCCCTTCCTATCTAGGAACAACCTGGCTACGGTGATCCAGGCAACGGTCATCTCACGGCTTGACTACTGTAACACCCTCTACATTGGCCTTTCTTTGTCAGTGATCTGGAAACTGAAGCTGGTGCAAAATGTGGCGGCTCATCTTATCGCCTGGGTGCTGGCAAGGTGTCGTATCACCCCAATTCTACAACAGCTGCACTGGCTACCAATTGAGTACCGGATTACTTTCAAGGTGCTGGTACTAACCTTTAAGGCCTTATATGGTCTGGGGCCGGCGTACCTGAGGGCCTGCTTATCCCCCTACCAACCCCAGAGATTACTTCGGTCCGAGGAACAAAATTTGCTTGAAGTCCCCAACATCCAGACTTATCATCTGTCCTCTACTAGGCAGAGAGCCTTCTCGATTGTGGTCCCTTATTTATGGAATGCCTTGCCAGTTGAAACCCGAACCATCTGAGACCTACTTGCTTTTCATAAAGCCTGCAAAACCTTTCTTTTCCGACAAGTTTTTGATGGGTGAATAACTCGGGACTATGTCTGTTCTTGTTTTTATTGTATTTTAAAGTTAATTGTATTGTTTTAATCTACTGCTGTAAACAGCTCCAAGCCAAATTGGGAGTAGTGGTATACAAGTCAAATAAATAAAATTATTATTATTATTATTATTATTATTATTATTATTATTATGGTAAAAGCTCGGCTGTAGAACTAAGCTTTCGTGACAGGGCAATAAGGCAGCGATAGCAAACTTTAACAGACCAATTTAGATTTGACACAGATGACCAATGGTGGTTTTAAATGGGGTGTTTTAATATTTTGGTAAATGTTTTTAATGTTTACGCATACTTATATCATTTCTTGTCCTGGCAAAGAATGTTTGCCGTATATATGCTGTGCTGAGTCCCCTTCGGGGTGAGAACATATAAATGCATCAATAGGAGCACAGTGTCTAGATCTAAGGAAGTAATGCTACCCCTCTATTCTATTCTGCTTTGGTTAGACCACACCTGGAATATTGTGTCCAATTCTGGGCACAACAATTCAAGAGAGATATTAACAAACTGGAATGTGTCCAGAGGAGGGACTCAAATGATCAAGGGTCTGGAGAACAAGCCCTATGAGGAGCAGCTTAAGGAGCTGGGCATGTTTAGCCTGAAGAAGAGAAGGCTGAGAGGAGATATGATAGCCATGTATAAATATGTGAGAGGAAGCCACAGGGAGGAGGGAGCAAGCTTGTTTTCTGCTTCCCTGGAGACTAGGACACGAACAATGGCTTCAAACTACAAGAAGGGAGATTCCATGTGAACATGAGGAAGAACTTCCTGACTGTGAGAGCCGTCCAGCAATGTGGTGGAGGCTCCTTCTTTGGAAGCTTTTAAACAGAGGCTGGATGGCCATCTGTCAGGGGTGATTTGAATGCAATATTCCTGCTTCTTGGCAGGGGGTTGGACTGGATGGCCCATGAGGTCTCTTCCAATTCTTTGATTCTATGATTCTATGATATGTGTGAGAGACTGTCAATGAATACCAGGTGCTATAGATTCTACTTCAAAGGAAGGGGCTGGCAAAAAATCCAACTCTCACAGGGAGAGAAAGTGGGGTGCAATCTTCTGACCAGGGGCTCAGACAGCAAAACAAACCCCACAGGGGTGTTAACCCTTCCCTTTGCTATGCAGAGCTAAACAAATGTCTCACTAAGGTTCCTTCAAGACCTGATGGATCTGGACCAAAGGTGGCACACAGACTGTTCATTGTCCTACTTGAAATAGGGGAATTTCTTGCCCCAAAACATTCTCTCCATATGAATACTCTTATTTGCCAACAATATGTGGGTGAATGCTCAGGCTCTTACCTCTTCTGTAGACCAAGGGCCATCCCAGCCAATAGAATATAGGTGATAAAGGCCATACCTGAAGGGGAATTAAAAAAATAGATACACTCTTTTGAAGGCCCAAAGAAAATCAAGTGTCACATTCTTACTTCTCCCATACCTTTCCAAACTCAAACAAAACAGAACTGAAGCTTTCCAGCTATATCACAACTCCTATCAGCTGTATTCATGATGGCTAATGATGAGGAACGTGGGAGTTGTAGTACAGAATCTGGAGGGCCACATGAAATGACATGGCGAGATGGATTCAGCCTACAAGCCGTGGGGTTTTCCTTTGAAGCCCATATCCATGTTTTTATTTGCTTTTGTTTTCTATGTTTCTTACACTTTGTGGCGCTGTGACTAAGTGTCTGCCCAGAAAATGACAAAGCCCCCCCCCCCAAAAAAAACCCATAGAATATCTTCAAAGAAAAAGGTTATCAGTTGCATCGGCAACACAGCAAGGCAGGAAAAGATCAATCACGGCCACCTTAGGCTATAAACTACTTTATTTTACAGCTATATACATTAGAAGCTACTTAACAGCACATCATAAACTTGCTTCTTTACCGTCCAATCGAAACATTGCGAACACAGTTATCAGTACTAGTCAACACCTCTTACATTCCAGAGTGAAGTATGATGTATAACGCATGCACGACGGTGAGTCCATTTGTTCTATACACTTGATTTATGACCTCTCTAGGAATGCCGTTCCCTCCATGGTTCAGTTAACTCTTTCCACACAGGAATACATTACACTCGGCACATAGCTACTGCATTTTAAACATACATACATACTTTGAAATCTACATTATAAATTGCAAACAGCTTCAACAATTCCCCTTAACATCAAGTCTGGTTGTGTCCGACTCTGGGAGTTTGTGCTCATCTCCATTTCAAAACTGAAGAACCGGCGTTGTTCGTAGACGCCTCCAAGGTCATGTGGCCGGCATGACTGCATGGAGCACTGTTACCTTGTCGCAGAAGCGGTACCTATTGAGCTACCCATATTTGCATGTTTTCGAACTACTACATTGGCAGAAGCTGAAGCTAACAGCGGGAGTTCGGAAGTGGATCAGCAGCCAGTGGAGCTGATGCAACAAGGGGGTGGTGTGCTCCCTGTATGTCGCTCCAGTTAGTAATCTGGCTGCAGCCCGTTGGACTAGTTGAAATTTCCAAACAGCCTTCAAAGGCAGACCCACGTAGAGTGCGTTGCAGCAGTCTATTTGAGATGTAACAAGAGAGTGGACCACTGTTGCCAGATTAGACTTCCCAAGGTACGGGCTAATGATAATAATAATAATACTTTATTTATACCCCGCTACCATCTCTCCAAGGGACTCGGAGCGGCTTACATGAGGCCAAGCCCAACAACACATCAGTAAAAACAACAAGCAATAAGCCAATAAACAATACAATTAATATAACTCACATATAAACAATAACACACAAAGATTTAAAAACCTATTTATTATCTGGAGCTCCTGGTGGCGCAGTGGGCTAAACCGCTGAGCTTCTGTACTTGCTGATCAAAAGGTTGCAGGTTTGAATCTGGGGAGCAGTGTGAGCTCCCAGTGTTAGCCCCAGCTTCTGCCAACCTAGCAGTTCGAAAACATGCAACTGTGAGTAGATCAATAGGTACCGCTCTGGCGGGAAGGTAACGGCGCTCGATGTAGTCATGCCGACCACATGACCTTGGAGGTGTCTACGGACAATGCCAGCTCTCTGGCTTAGAAATGGAAACGAGCACCAACCTCCAGAGTCAGACATGACTGGACTTAATGTCAGGGAAAAACCTTTACCTTTACTATTTATTATCTGTGTACAGATGACAATGGACTCCAAAACTCTGGATTTGTTATGTAATATATTATATCTTCAAAGAAACATATAATGTCTTCAAAGATATCTACACAAATAAAAATGTAATGTTCGTTTGTGGGATTAACAGAACTCAAAAACCACTGGACAAATTGACACCAAATTTGGACACAAGACACCTAACAACCCAATGTATGTCCTTCACGCAAAAAAATTGATTTTGTCATTTGGGAGTTGTAGTTGATGGGATTTTTAGTTCACCTACAATCAAAGAACATTCTGAACCCCACCAACAATGGAATTGAACCAAACTTGGCTCACAGTTCTCCCATGACCAAGAGAAAATACTGGAAGGGTTTGGTGGGCAGTGTCCTTTGGTTTTGGAGTTGTAGTTCCCCTACATCCAGAGATCATTGTGGACTCAAAAAATGATGGCTCTGGACCAAACTCTATAAGAATACTCAATATGCTCAAATGTGAACACTGGTGGAGTTTGAGGAAAACAGAATCTTGACATTTGGGAGTTGTAGTTGCTGGGATTTATAGTTCACCTACAATCACAGAGCATTCTGAACCCCACCAATGATAGAATTGGGACAAACCTCCCACACAGAACCCCCATATCGGTCACAGCAATGCGTGGCAGGGGACGGCTAGTATTATATAATATTACACACAAACACATACACAGTATAAAACATATACACACACATACATATTGCAATATATATATATATATATATATATATATATATATATAATATTATATGATATATCTTCAAAGAAACCATATAAAACCTTCAAAGATTATAAACATATATACATTCACGTATATAAAATATATTGCAATATTTATTATAATAAGCTATATTATATTTTATTAAACTATGCATAATATCTTCATACTCACTGGGAATATAGAGGTCAGGCGCATTGACATCCTGCCTGGGAGTGAGAGGCACGTCGCGATGGTAGCGGACCTCCCAGTTCTGAAAGAAGACCACCACATTTGTGGGTAGATTATCAGAGACCTCCTGCCTGGTAATTAAGTGCTGGGAAAGTTGGCGCAAGGGGCAAGGCCTTCAAGACAAAGGGGCTGCATCTACACTGTAGAAACAATACAGTTTGATACCGTTTGCTCTGCCATGGCTGAAAGATATGGAATCATGGCACTATTTGGTAGAAAAGGCTAAAAACCTTGTAAATCCTTTCTAGGGGCTCACCAGTTCTTCTCTTTTGCCATAGGGCAGAGAGCAAATAATAATAATAATAATAATAATAATAATAATAATAATAATAATGATGATGATGATGCCCATGCCATCAAAGCCAGAACTGAAAAGTCGACAACAGATCCCAAATGTAGACTCTGCAAGGAATCAGATGAAACAATAGATCACATCCTCAGCTGCTGCAACATTGCGCAGACAGACTACAAGCAGAGGCACAACACCGTTGCTCAGATGATTCATTGGAACTTGTGCCACAAACACCACCTTCCTGCGACAAAGAACTGGTGGCATCACAAGCCGGAAAGAGTTACAGAAAACGAACACACCAAACTCATCTGGGTCTTCCGGATTCAGACGGACAGAGTTTTGGAACATAATACTCCTGACCTCACAATCGTGTTAAAAAACAAAGTATGGACTGTCGATGTTGCAATCCCAGGTGACAGCAGGATTGCAGAGAAACAACTGGAAAAGCTGACATGATATGAGGATTTAAAGATCGAACTGCAAATACTCTGGCACAAGCCAATCAAGGTGGTCCCAGTGGTGATGGGCACACTGGGTGCAGTGCCTAAAGACCTTGACCTGCACTTAAACACAATCGGTGCTGACAAAAATACCATCTGCCAGCTGCAGAAGGCCACCTTACTGGGATCTGCATGCATTATTTGCCAATACATCACACAGTCCTAGACACTTTGGAAGTGTCCAATGTGTGATCCAATACAACAGCCAGCAGAGTGTCTGCTGTAGACTCATCTTGTGTTTCAAATAATAATAATAATAATAATAATAATAATTATTATTATTATTATTATTATTATTCAATAATAATATAATAATTCAACAGCCAGCAGAGTGTCTGCTGTGGACTCGTCTTGTTGTGTTTCAAATAATAATAATAATAATAATAATAATAATAATAATAATAATAATAATAACAATGCATGAGCAATATTAATAGGGGTCAGACCGCATTTGCAACAGTAGGCCTCTCCATTCCCCAAAACACAAGAACCTCAAACCAAGACATAAAATGCCTCTATACCTGATGCATGTAAGGGAAGACCAGAAGAGCCAGCTTCTTCATCACGTATGTGGTGTCCACCGCAAAGAAGTACTTCAAGTTGTTAATGGACATGAACCGGTGGATCTGATGGGAGCAAGAACCAAAGACAGGGCTGAAGAGGCAAGAGTATTAATTCCTCCTTATGTGCCTGCATATCCATATACTAGCTGTACCCACCACGCGTTGCTGTGGCCAGCCTTCCCTCCCTCTTTCCTTCCTTCATTCCCTTTCCTTCTTTCTTTCTCTCCTTCCTTCCTTCTCTATCTCTTCCCTTCCCTTTTCCTTTCTCTCCTTTCTTCCTTCTGTACCTCTTTCCTTCCTTCCTTAGCTTTTTGCTTCCACCCTTTCTTCTCTTTCTTCTTTCTCTTCTTCCTTCACTCCCTCTTTCCTTCCTTTTTTCATCTTTCCTTCTCTTTCCTTCCTTCTTCTCTTTCCTTCCTTCCTTTTTTCCCCTTTTCTCCTTTCTTCCTTCTGTACCTCTTTCCTTTCCTTAGCTTTTTGCTTCCACCCTTCCTTCTCTTTCCTTCCCTTCCCTCTTTCTTCCTTCCTTCTTTCCTTCTCTCCTTCCTTCTTTCTCTACCTCTTTCTTTCCCTCCCCTCTTTTCCTTTCTCTTTCTCTCCTTTCTTCCTTCTGTACCTCTTTCCTTCCTTCCTTAGCTTTTTGCTTCCACCCTTCCTTCTCTTTGCTTCCCTCCCTCTTTCTCTTCTTCCTTCACTCCCTCCTTCCTTCCTTCCCTTTTTTATCTTTCCTTCTCTCCTTCTTTCTTTTTCTACCTCTTTCCTTCCTCCCTTTTCCCCCCTTCCTTCCTCATTCTCTTTTTTCCTTCCTTCCTTCGCTTTGTGTCCATGATTCCTCCTTCTTTCTTTCTTTCTTTCCCTCCCTCCCTCCCTCTTTCTTTCTCCCTTCCTTCCTTTCTTTCTTCCATCTCTCATCCTTCCCTTTTTTCCTGTATCGTCATTTAGCTTTTTTGGTCATTTAGCTTTTTTGGGGTTTTTTAAGTCCTTTCTGCTTTTTTGGGGGGGGGGGGTATGAGTGATGGTCACTCTTTGTGTTGATAGGTGTCTTTTGTCCAAATTTGGTGTCAATTGGTCCAGTGGTTTTTGAGTTATGTTAATCCCACAAATGAACATTACATTTTTATTTATATAGATTACTCTAAGTGTCTTATTTATTTATTTATGATATTTATATCCCGCCCTCTCTCATCCTGAAGGGGACTCAGGCTTACTTGTTATTTGTTACATATAATATATTATATTATTAGCATAGACCAATATTAGTATTATATATTACTATATTTGTACTATACCATTACACTGTAATATTACATGCAATGTAAAATACATAACTATTCTATTATATGATTAGTATCATATTGTATTACATTATATTATCTATAGAAATAAAAATGTAATGTTCATTTGTGGGATTAACATAACTCAAAAACCACTGGACGAATTGACACCAAATTTGGACACAATACACCTATCAGGCCAACGAGTGACCATCACTCATAAAAACACTGGAAAACACAGCAGAGGGGACTTAAAAAGCAAAAAAAAAAAACCCACCACACATTACAACGCATGCACAAAATTACATATATACGCATATACACAAATATATAAACACACATCTATATAAATGAAAATGTAATGTTCGTTTGTGGGATTAACAGGAATTAAAAACCACTGGACAAATCGACACCATATTTGGGCACAAGACACCTAACAACCCAATGTAAGTCCTTCACTCAAAAAATGGATTTTGTCATTGGGGAGTTGTAGTTGCTGAGATTTATAGTTCACCTACAATCAAAGAACATTCTGAACTCCCCCAATGATGGAATTGAACCAAACTTGGCACACAGTTCTCCCATGACCAACAGAAAATACTGGAAGGGTTTGGTGGGCAGTGTCCTTTGGTTTTGGAGTTGTAGTTCACCTACATCCAGAGAGCACTGTGGACTCAAACAATGATGGATCTGGACCAAATTCTACACGAATACTCAATATGCCCAAATGTGAACACTGGTGGAGTTTGGGGAATGTCCTTTGGTTTTGGAGTTGTAGTTCACCTACATCCAGAGAGCACTGTGGACTCAAACATTGATGGATCTGGACCAAACTCTACACGAATAATCAATGCCCAAATGTGAACACTGGGAGTTTGGGGAAAATAGAATCTTGAATTTTGGGAGTTGTAGTTGTTAGGATCTACACAAAGAGCATTCTGAACTCCACCAATGATGGAATTGGGCCAAACTTAGCACACAGGGCTCCCATGACTAACAGGAAACACTAGAAAGGTTTGGGGGCAGTGTCCTTTGGTTTTGGAGTTGTAGTTCACCTACATCCAGAGATCACTGTGGACTCAAACAATAATGGATCTGGACCAAACTCTACACGAATACTCAATATGCCCAAATGTGAACACTGGTGGAGTTTGGGGAAAATAGAATCTTGATATTGGAGTTGTAGTTCACCTACATCCAGAGATCACTGTGGACTCAAACAATGATGGATCTGGAGCAAACTCTACACGAATACTCAATATGACCAAGTGTGAACACTGGTGGAGTTTGGGGAAAATAGAATCTTGACATTTGGGAGTTGTAGTTGCTGGGATTTGTAGTTCACCTACAATCAGAGCATTCTGAACCCCACCAACAATAGAATTGGGCCAAACCTCCCACACAGAACCCCCATGACCACCAGAGTGGGCCACGCGTGGCAGGAGGTGGCTAGTATAAGAAAAAATAATATTGGAATGGAAGAAATACAGTTGGGACTCACCTCCTTGTGCATGATATCTTTGCCTTGAGATGCAATGCTGGTGCCGTAGGCCATTGCAACATTGGCCACAGGGTCTGCAAATATCTGGTTGAAGCCCATGTCAATCCCTGGGGCGGGGTATCCCGGCTGCGGTAGGCCATAGGCTGAACTGGTGTCGTCAAACAGCTGGGGGGCATCTGGGCTCTGTGGCATCGGAGGGGCCCTCGTCCTGTGTTTGGAACCTGCAGAAGGAGGAACAACAAAGAGGGTTGTATCCGCTTCTCAGTTTGCATCTAAAGAGAAAAGTGGGTCACAAGGCTCCCAAAGTGACCCATTTAAGGTGAAATCAGCTGTCAAACACGGATGTGTTATTGCCCCAACTTTATTTTCCATATTCATTGCTATGATATAGTTTAAAATTATGTGTGTTATTATTTATATGCGAGTTATATTAATTGTACTGTTTCATTTACTTGCTGTTTTGTTTTTACTTATGTTTTGTTGGGTTTGGTCTCATGTAAGCCGCCCTGAGTCCCCTTGGGGAGATGGTGTTGGGGTATAAATAAAGTTTTATTATTATTATTATTATTATACTTCATCTTGTTGATGAGAAGCTTCCCCCCAAAGTTTAAATCATCTATCGGACAGATGGCAAGCTATTTAACCTCAGCAGACCGAAAGCCAAAACCAAGGTCAAAACAACATCTGCTATAGAACTCCAATATGCTGATGATAATATAGTCTGTGCACATTCAGAAGAAGACCTACAAGCCACTCCAAACACATTTGCAAAAGAATACAAGCTCTTATTGAACATTGAGAAAACCAACTGCCTCACCCCCTACCAACCCCCGAGATCATTTCGTTCAGACGATCAGAATCTCCTTGAAGTTCCCAATTTTAGGACCTTTCACCTGATGTCTACTAGGTGTAGAGCATTCACGGTGGTGGCTCCTTACCTGTGGAATGCCTTGCCAGCGGAAACACGAGCTCTCCGAGACTTACTATCTTTTCGTACAGCTTGTAAAACTTATTTATTTAGGCTGGCATTTGAATCTTGCTGATTGAAATTTTTCTTTGATTTTGAATGTAATGTATCACATATGTATATTGTAAACCGCTCCGAGCCTTCGAGGAGTGGCGGTAGATAAAATTGATCAATAAATAAATAAATAATCCGATTATTATATTGTACTATATTATTATACCATATATATCTCTCACACATTAACAGTATATTATATTATTAGTATTCTATAATATACTGTACTATATCATAAGTTGTAATATATATATATTATATTATAACATTATATATATATATATATATATATATATATATATAACACATTAACAGTACTATATTATTAGTATTCTATAATATACTGTACTATATCATAAGTTGTAATATATATATATTATATTATAACATTATATATATATATATATATATATATATATAAAACACATTAACAGTACTATATTATTAGTATTCTATAATATACTGTACTATATCATAAGTTGAGAGTTTCATCTATGCTGATGATCGTGCCATTACCACTCAAGCAGGGAGCTTAGAGATGGTAGAACAGAAGCTCTCCGAAGCTCTAGGTGCTCTTACTGCCTATTACAGGGAAAACCAACTGATCCCTAATCCATCTAAAACACAGACATGCGCCTTTCACCTTAAGAACAGACAAGCATCCCGAGCTCTGAGGATTATTACCTGGGAAGGAATCCCACTGGAGCATTGCAGCGCACCCAAATACCTGGGAGTCACTCTGGACCGTGCTCTGACCTACAAGAAGCACTGCCTGAACATCAAGCAAAAAGTGGGTGCTAGAAACAACATCATACGAAAGCTGACTGGCACAACCTGGGGATCACAACCAGACACAGTGAAGACATCTGCCCTTGCGCTATGCTACTCTGCTGCTGAGTATGCATGCCCAGTGTGGAACACATCTCACCACACTAAAACAGTAGATGTGGCTCTTAATGAGACATGCCGCATTATCATGGGGTCTGCGCCCTACACCACTGGAGAAATTACACTGTCTAGCCGGTATTGCACCACCTGACATCCGCCGGGAAGTAGCAGCCAATAGTGAAAGGACCAAGGCAGAGACATCTCCAGCTCATCCCGTTTGGGTATCAGGCAGCACGTCAACAACTTAAATCAAGACATAGTTTTCTTAGATCTACAGAGACACTCGCTGGAACACCCAGCAAGCGAGAGTCCAAAAGTGGCAGGCCCAAACCCAGCACCTCAATCCATGGGTGATACCAAATGAGAGACTCCCCCCTGGGCACACAGAAGACTGGGCGACTTGGAAGGAGCTGAACAGACTGCGCTCTGGCACCACGAGATGCAGAGCCAACCTTAAGAAATGGGGCCACAAAGTGGAATCCACGACATGCGAGTGCGGAGAAGAGCAAACCACTGACCACCTGCTGCAATGCAACCTGAGCCCTGCCACATGCACAATGGAGGACCTTCTTGCGGCAACACCAGAGGAACTCCAAGTGGCCAGATATTGGTCCAAGGGACATTTAACCAACTACCAAATTTGCAAAATCTGTGTTTTTTTTTCTTTTTAATCTGTGTGTTTGTTTTGCTCTGTTAGAATTGTAATACAATGGTTGCTGATGACACGATAAATAAATCATAAGTTGTAATATATATATATTACATTATAACATTACATATAAATATATATCACATTAACATTATTATATTATTAGTATTCTATAATATACTGTACTATATCTTAAGTTGTAATATATATATTATAACATTATATTTATATAAATATAATATTAGCTGGGACTACAGCTCCCAGAATTCCTGTCCACTGAACAAGTTGGCTTCTGGGGACCAAAAGATTGAGCTAACTCAAGGCCAAACTGCAGCACTCCTACTTTGGGGCCTCCAGGAGTTTTGGACTTCATCCCCCAGAATTCCTGGCAGTTGGTCAAAGCGGCAGGGGCTTCTGGGAGTTGAAGTCCGCAACACCTGGAGGCGCTGAGGCTGGGGCCTGCTGGCCTACGGCAGCCCTCCTCGGCCTTGGCCCGCTGGCTTGGGCCCTCTGGGTCCTGTCTACCTCGGGGGCGAACCCTCTGCCGGTGCCCTCGCCCCTCGCCCGGCCTACCTGGGCCTCCATAGCCGGGAGGGTAAGCCATGTTTCCGCCCGCTTCCAAACTCCGAGCAACTCCACAGCCGCGTCCGAGCCACGTCCTCAGAGCCTAGTTAGCCCCGCCCCACGCCTCCCATTGGCTCCCTCCGTGCAAGCCTTTCTGCGGATTGGCAGGGAACCTATCCATCTCTCGCAGCTGTTCCAAAGGGGCGGGGCTTAGAAGCGAGCGCCGACCTAGAGCGCATGCGTGGGGAGAAGTTGCCTTGCTTTACCTGTTCTTGTGATTGATGAGTTTTGAAAGGTAAAGCGATGGTTCCCAATCACCTGGAAGGACCAGAGCCTTCCTTAGGAGTCTCTTCCAACTTTGGGATTGTACCATGGTGTAAAGAATAACTTGTCAATGATCAAGGGTCTGGAGAACAAGCCCTATGAGGAGCGGCTTAAGGAGCCGGGCATGTTTAACCTGAAGAAGAGAAGGCTGAGAGGAGATATGATAGTAAAGGTAAAGGTAGTCCCCTGACAAGCCCTATGAGGAGCGGCTTAAGGAGCCGGGCATGTTTAACCTGAAGAAGAGAAGGCTGAGAGGAGATATGATAGGTAAAGGTAAAGGTAGTCCCCCGACAAGCCCTATGAAGAGAGGCTTAAGGAGCTGGGCATGTTTAACCTGAAGAAGAGAAGGCTGAGAGGAGATATGATAGTAAAGGTAAAGGTAGTCCCCTGACAAGCCCTATGAGGAGCGGCTTAAGGAGCCGGGCATGTTTAACCTGAAGAAGAGAAGGCTGAGAGGAGATATGATAGGTAAAGGTAAAGGTAGTCCCCCGACAAGCCCTATGAAGAGAGGCTTAAGGAGCTGGGCATGTTTAACCTGAAGAAGAGAAGGCTGAGAGGAGATATGATAGTAAAGGTAAAGGTAGTCCCCTGACAAGCCCTATGAGGAGCGGCTTAAGGAGCCGGGCATGTTTAACCTGAAGAAGAGAAGGCTGAGAGGAGATATGATAGTAAAGGTAAAGGTAGTCCCCTGACAAGCCCTATGAGGAGCGGCTTAAGGAGCCGGGCATGTTTAACCTGAAGAAGAGAAGGCTGAGAGGAGATATGATAGGTAAAGGTAAAGGTAGTCCCCCGACAAGCCCTATGAAGAGAGGCTTAAGGAGCTGGGCATGTTTAACCTGAAGAAGAGAAGGCTGAGAGGAGGGATTGAGAAAGGAAGAAATTGGTAGAGAGAAGGAGAGAAATAAGGGGAGAAAAAGAACGAATAATAATGATGATGATGATAGTAAAGGTAAAGTTTTTCCCCTGACATTAAGTCCAGTCATGTCTGACTCTGGGGTGTGGTGCTTATCTCCATTTCTAAGCCGAAGAGCCAGCGTTGTCCGTAGACACCCCAAGGTCATGTGGCCAGCATGACTGCATGGAGCGCCGTTACCTTCCCGCCGGAGCGGTACCTATTGATCTACTCACATTTGCATGTTTTCGAACTGCTAGGTTGGCAGAAGCTAGGGCTGACAGCGGAAGCTCACACGGCTCCCCGGAATCGAACCTGCGACCTTTCGATCAACAATCTCAGCAGCTCAGTGCTTTAACCCACTGCGCCACATATTGATAGCCATGTATAAATATGTGAGAGGAAGTCACAGGGAGGAGGGAGCAAGCTTGTTTTCTGCTTCCCTGGAGACTAGGACGCAATGGAACAATGGCTTCAAACTACAAGAGAGGAGATTCCATCTGAACATGAGGAAGAACTTCCTGACTGTGAGAGCCGTTCAGCGGTGGAACTCTCTGCCCCGGAGTGTGGTGGAGGCTCCTTCTTTGGAAGCCTTTAAACAGAGGCTGGATGGCCATCTGTCAGGGGTGATTTGAGTGCAATTTTCCTGCTTCTTGGCAGAATGGGGTTGGACTGGATGGCCCAACAGGTCTCTTCCAACTCTTTGATTCTATGATTCTATGATCTTCTATATAAATAAGCCAAAAAACCCACACATTACAACACATGCACAAAATCACATATATACGCATATACACAAATATATAAACACAAATCTATATAAATAAAAATGTAATGTTTGTTTGTGGGATTAACAGTATTCAAAAACCACTGGACAAATTGACACCAAGTTTGGACACAAGACACCTAACAACCCATTGTATGTCCTTCACTCAAAAAAACTGAGTTTGTTAGTTGGGAGTTGCAGTTGTTGGGATTTATAATTCACCTACAATCAAAGAGCATTCTGAACTCCACCAACGATTGAATTGAACCAAACTTGGCTCACAGGACTCCCCTGACCAACAGAAAACACTAGAAGGGTTTGGTGGGCATGTTTTCTTGCCCTGTTGAAGGGAGTTGGACTGGGTTGCCTTAAGGCAGCATTTCTCAACCTGGGGTTTGGGACCCTTTGGGGGGGAGGGTTGCGAGGGGGTGTCAGAAGGGTAACCAAAGACCATCAGAAAACACAGTATTTTCTCTTGGTCATGAGGGTTCTGTGTGGGACGTTTGCCCCAATTCTGTCATTCCTGGGGTTCAGAATGCTCTTTGATTGTAGATGAACTATAAATCCCAGTAACTACAACTTGCAAATGTCAAGGTCTATTCCCCCAAAACTCCATCTGTGTTCATATTTGGGCATATTGAGTATTTGTGCCAAGTTTGGTCCAGATCCATCATTGTTTGAGTCCACAGTGCTCTCTGGATGTAGGTGAACTACAACTCCCAAACTCAAGGTCAATGCCCACCAAACCCTTCTAGCGTTTCCTGTTGGCCATGGGAGTCCTGTGTGCCAAGATAGATCCAATTCCATTATTGGTGGAGTTCAGAATGCTCTTTGATTGTAGGTGAACTATAAATCCCAGCAACTACAACTCCCAAATGACAAAATCGTGTTTTTTTTTTTGGAGTGATGGTCACTCCTTAGGTTAGTAGGTGTCTTGTGGCCAAATTTGGTGTCAATTCATCCAGTGGTTTTTGAGTTATGCTAATCCCACAAACGAACATTACATTTTTATTTACAGTATATTCTGGCGTATAACCCAAGAAAATCTTCTCAAAAGTCAGGGGTCGTCTTATATGTGGGAGTCGTCTTATAGAGCGGGTGCTGAAACTTCCAATCCAGATTGGAGAATCTGTGGTTGCTGCATATTGTGGGGGGAGCTCAAAATGGCAGTGGCTACGTCCCTGCCGTATGTAGCAACTGTATTACTGCTGTACAAGTACGATAGAAGAAAATCCATTCATCAGGATTTGTGGACTTAATGCGGTCCCGATGGTGAGGTGAAGGGGCGCCACACCGGGAAGGTGTAAGTGAAGGGCGGAGCAAGCTGCAGGTGTCTAGGGCACCTGGGGTAAGGAAAAAAGAGATAGAGTGGCTCTGGGCCCAGAAAAAAACACCTCTTTTACCTGTCTGGCCCATCCTTGTATCTTACTATAGTTCCTCCTCCTCTGCCTCTCAGCCATTGGTTGAGGTTCTGGGTTTGAGCCTGCCACTTTTGGACTCTCGCTTGCTGAGGTGTCCCTGCGAGTGTCTCTGTAGATCTTAGAAAACTATTTCTTGATTTAAGTCGTTGACGTGCTGGCTGATACCCAAACAAGGGATGAACTGGAGACGTCTCTGCCTTGGTCCTTTCACTATTGGCTGCTACTTCCCGGCAGATGTCAGGTGGTGCAATACCGGCTAAACAGTGTAATTTCTCCAGTGGTGTAGGGCGCAGACACCCCGTGATAATGAGGCATGTCTCATTAAGAGCCACATCCACTGTTTTAGAATGGTGAGATGTGTTCCACACTGGGCATGCATACTCAGCAGCAGAGTAGCATAGCGCAAGGGCAGATGTCTTCACTGTGTCTGGTTGTGATCCCAGGTTGTGCCAGTCAGCTTTCGTATGATATTGTTTCTAGCACCCACTTTTTGCTTGATGTTCAGGCAGTGCTTCTTGTAGGTCAGAGCACGGTCCAGAGTGACCCCCAGGTATTTGGGTGCGCTGCAATGCTCCCGTGGGATTCCTTCCCAGGTCATCCTCAGAGCTCGGGATGCTTGTCTGTTCTTAAGGTGAAAGGCGCATGTCTGTGTTTTAGATGGATTAGGGATCAGTTGGTTTTCCCTGTAATAGGCAGTAAGAGCACCTAGAGCTTTGGAGAGCTTCTGTTCAACCATCTCAAAGCTCCCTGCTTGAGCAGTAATGGCACGATCATCAGCATAGATGAAACTCTCTGTCCCTTCTGGCAGTGGCTGGTCATTTGTGTAAATGTTGAACATGGATGGAGCAAGCACGCTCCCCTGAGGCAGGCCGTTCTTCTGTTTCCGCCATCTGCTTCTCTGGCCCTGGAACTCAACAAAAAAGCTCCTGTTTTGTAGCAGGTTTCCTATGAGGCGGGTGAGGTGGTAGTCCTTTGTGATATTATACATTTTTCTCAGGAGGAGGCGGTGGTTCACAGTATCATAAGCTGCGGACAGGTCTATGAAGACAGCTCCTGTGATCTGCTGCCTTTCAAAGCCATCTTCTATGTGCTGAATCAGGTTCAACACTTGCGATGTGCAGCTTTTGCCTTTCCTGAAGCCAGCTTGCTGTGGGATCAGACAAGGGTCTATTTTGTTGGGGGCCCTCTTATACTCCCAGTTGTCTTGTATGCCGGAATATACGGTGTGTAGATGTTATAGTAGTGCCATCTTTACAAAGTTCTTATTTTGCATGTTGTTGTTCATTCGTTCAGTCGTCTCCGACTCTTCGTGACCTCATGGACCAGCCCACGCCAGAGCTCCCTGTCGGCCGTTACCACCCCCAGCTCCCTCAAGGTCAGTCCAGTCACTTCAAGGATGCCATCCATCCATCTCGCCCTTGGTCGGCCCCTCTTCCTTTTGCCTTCCACTTTCCCCAGCATCATTGTCTTCTCTAGGCTTTCCTGTCTCCTCATGATGTGGCCAAAGGACTTCAACTTTGTCTCTAGTCTCCTTCCCTCCAGTGAGCAGTCGGGCTTTATTTCCTGGAGGATGGACTGGTTGGATCTTCTCGCAGTCCAAGGCACTCTCAGAACTTTCTCCAACACCACAGCTCAAAAGCATCGATCTTCCTTCGCTCAGCCTTCCCTAAGGTCCAGCTCTCACATCCGTAGGTTACTACAGGGAATACCATGGCTTTGACTAGG